CTGCGCGCCGGCGCCGATGTGGATGCCGCCGGCAGGGCCGTCGGAGCTCTCCCTGCCCTTGCCTATAGGGGAACAGACAACGGCACAGACACAAACTTTTGAAGGCCCGCGCGGATGTCTTTTGGATCTGCGCTCGGCCGGGGCGGTGCCGCCAGCGCCGCCCCTGGCGCGTTCCGCGCGCCGGGGAGGGGGGGCCAGCGCCGCTCCAAGATATCCGCGCGGAGCTCCGAGAAGTCTTAAGTCTGCGCAGGTTCTTCCGCTCCGGTTGCCCTTGGAGGACTGGTTGTAGATCTCCTGGAGCAAGTGCTCGAAGATGTGCTTCACGTTGTCGCCGGTGACGGCGCTCGCCTCGGAGAAGAACAGGCCGTTCTGGCGGGCGAACTCGGCGGCGGCGTCGTAGTAGACCTCTGGTTGATGGGCAGAATCCTGCACCACCCGCGCGACCAGGGTGCCGGCACAAACTTCAACGCGCCCCCTGTCCCCGATTCAATGTTGGTTGGCATCGCCAGCGGGCCGCAGGATTTCAGCCAGTCGACAGATCGACACATCGCGGCGCAGCCCGACAATATTAAATTCGGGAAGCGGCAGGGGGGTCACAAAATCAACATGAAAGGCGCAGGACTTTGTCCATCAACCATCAGGGGGGGGGGGGGGGCTGGGCTGGCTAGCACTGCCAGCGACGGACCGGGCTGAGGGTCACAAGGGCAGGGAAGGGGAGGGGGAGGCGCGGGGAGGGCAGGAGTAGCAGAAGAAGCAGAAAACAGCGCTACCCCAGCAACGCACCATGGTGGCAGCAAAAGTGAAGAGGCGGGTCAAGGAGTCGGAAACTGGCTTGTGACAACGTGCGTTCTCAGGAACTCCTTGGAATTCCTGGGAACGCCAGGTGGGACAGGGGTGAGAGCACGGCCATGCGCACCGTGGTGACAGTGTTTAAAAGGGATCGTGGCCGTCTGGACCCAACATGTAGGCAGCATTGAGGCGAGAGCGCGATTCCTGAACAAATTGCGCGGAAGCCTCAAGCGAAACGGTCGTCGTCGTCGTCGTCGTCGTCGTCGTCGTCGTCGTCGTCGTCGTCGTCGTCGTCGTCGTCGTCGTCGTCGTCGTCGTCGTAGTCGTCGTAATCGTCGCTACCCTCCCTTGACGCTTTTCCGTTTAAATCGTCGTCGTCGTCGTCGCCGCCGCCGCCGCCGCCGCCGCCGCCGCTCCCCACTGTCTCTAGGCCATCCTCCTCAAACGTTCCAGCCAAAGGCTACTCCGATGGATTTCCACCCACATCATCCACAAATCCAGCGAAGAAAAAATCGAGAAAACGTCGGAATCGAGTCGAAGGGAAGCTCCTTCCCTTCGGTCCTCCCGCTGGGGAGGGGTGCCCCAGTGGGGGGTGTCCCACGGAGGGTCCCAGGGGGTGTCCCGGGGAGGGTCCGGGTGCGGGGTCCCTGGGGTGGTCCTGAAGGTTGTGACCCCCCCTGGGGGAAGCACCACCCCCTGGGATAAGCTTTCCCCTTCGATCCCTTGCCTCCGAGACGCCTCGAGCTCACTTGCACCACGCCGCGCTCAAAGAGGGCCCTGAAACAGCCCAAAATCGCCCCAAGATGGCCCAAGATACAAGATACCCGCAAGACGGCCTTAGAAACCCCAAGAAAGCCCCAAGAGGGCTCCAAGAGGAGCCCCAAGAGAGCCCCAAGAGGCGAACAGTAACGATTTCATATAGTTGTTATATGCTTTTCGTGTCCTTGCTTTTTCTGGTGTCCGACGCTCCAAGACGGACCAGGAAGCCACCAAGATTGCCCCAAGACAGCGCAAGAGGCAGCCGAAAACTCCCGAAAACGGCCCAAGGCGACCCCAAGATGGCCCAAGACGGTCCCAAGACCACCCAAGAGACCCCCAGGACGACCGAATAGGGCCCCAAAGGGGCCCCAAGCGGCTCCCGAGAGGGGGAATACAGGCCGACATGTCGAGCCTTCCGCCCCAAGAGGCCCTCAGGAGGCCCCAAGAGGCCCAGAAGAGGCCCCCAAGAGGCCCTCACGAAGCCCAAAAGAGCCCAAAGAGCACTCCCAAGACAACCCCAAGAGGGTAAGATGAATCATATCCCATCAAGTGTCCAATGCTTCTCGTCGTCGTGGTCGTCGTCGTCGTCGTCATTCAGGGTCGGCGGCACTGGCCGTAAGGCCTTCACGACGCAAAACGTGAGGAAGTTTCGGGAGAAACGGCTGCCGGACCGGGCATCCTCAGGCTTTCCCCGCCCCACCTGTGGGACTCTTTACAACATGAGAGCCCTCTTTGGGTCACGCTGGAAAAGGAACGCAAAGACTTGAGCTTTCGGGGGCCCGCGCGGATTTCTTGGATCGGCGCTGGACCCCCTTCCCGGCGCACGAAGCGCGCTCGGGGCGGCGCCGGAGCCGCCGTCAGGGGGGCCCGGCGCAGATCCAAGAAATCCGCGCGGAACTCCAACAGTGTATGTTTATGCCAGTGTTCTCTTGCTCGAGACGGGAGGAAAGGGAACGAGAAGGCGCGGGATGGGAAGGGTCAGAAACCATCTCGGGATCGGTGGTAGTCGCCTTCGGCGAGCCGACCGACCTGGCGGACCGAGGGGTCCCCGTTGGGGCTCTCCGTGAGGTCCACCTTGTTGCCCACGAGCATGATCACGATGTCTGGCTCCGCGTTCTGCCGAAGCTCCTCCATCCACTTGGCACAATTGGCAAACGTCGACTGCTTCGTAACGTCATATACGAGCAGGGCCCCCACGGCCCTGCGGTAATGAGCGCTGGTGATGGCACGGTATCGCTCCTGGCCTGCAGTGTCCCAAATCTGTGCCTTGGCCACGCCGCCTACTGCCAGCTGCACTGTGCGGGTGGCGAACTCGACCCCTATGGTCGCAGTGGGCGCCTTGGGCAGCGCGCCCTTGATATAGCGGGAGATTAGGTGCGTCTTGCCGACAGTGGCGTCCCCGACGAGCACGATCTTGTAGAGGTGGTCGTAGTCATCCTCGTTCGCCATGTCGAGGCCCTCTGCTGGCTCGGGAGTACTGACTTGGGCGCACCTGCTGCGCAAAGACTGGCTCCGAGGCGGCTTGAGCCGAAACGGCTTCTGAATGTGTTGCGGCTATTGTAAGTGTCGTCGCTGCTGACTCAGCTGTTCGTGACAGACGCGCTGCCCGTGTTTATGTGCAAACGGGCATGTAATCCCAACACAAACTACCCAATTCAGACATTGGTTGAGACAAACGAAACCGGTTGACACAAACGAAAGTCACAATCGTTAAATTTGTTTGGTGTGAGCCGGAAGCGGCAAACCATGGTATTGACTACACGCTAGTGGTATCATCGGCCGAACACTTGGTTTGAAAGCTGTGCGACAATTGCAGCCGGCCACCAGGTGAGTGCAATGCGGCTGCAGCTCCCTTCAGCAGCTGGGCACAAGGTTGACGTGAATGCACCTTGAAATGGATCTTGCCCCCATGCGTTGCCTGTACGACACCACATCAGTAAGTTGCCCAGGTTCCGCTGCTTTGTACGCTCCCCCAGTTTAGCCATTGGCACATTTCCAAGCCTTCAGCCAAAATGGCCAAGGCCATCGCAGATGGGGGATGACCGCAATGGTGTCGTAAAGCGTATTGTAGAAAAGCTTCGATGGCGAGCACCGGCTTAGACAGTAAGACACACATAAGCGAGCACGTTTACAGGACGTGTTTGCCAGCATCATGCAATACGGCCGCGATCAAGACAGGGCGACAACAGTACGAACGTCGGCGGTAGTAGAAGGCGAGGAAGCGGAGCAGAAGCGCGAGGATGATGAGTAAACGGTTCTGGACGATGCAAGGAGTGGGAGCCAGATCGAAAGAGGAAGAGGGGGCGGGGAGGAACGAATGCGAAAGAAATGCAGTAGGAAGGGCAGATAGGAAGAGAGGAATTGCGAAGGAGGGAGGGAGAGGCAGAGAGAGAGGGAGAGAGAGAGGGAGAGAGGGAGAGGGCAAGCTAGGTGCGCTCGCGCCAAATCTGACATCACACCCCTCCCACCCATCCCTTCCCATTGAGCTGTTTTTGCTCCAACCATCTTGTGGTGTTGGGCCCTCGTTTTGAATCAGCAGCGCCATGCGTTCCTCACTCCTCACCCCGCCTCCCCCTCCTCGCCCTCCTGCCTCCGCTGCCTGCTCCCATCCCTGCACTCGCGGCCCCAGAGAGAGCTCCGCAGAAGGTACCTGTTGCAGGGTCCGCATGCAGTTCCACCCCCCAATTCCAAAACGCTCCTCACACGTTTCGTGACCCCACAGGGAGCCCCATCGAAAGCCCCAGCGGCAACGCCCGCATGCGTCACCCCGCACATGCCAGCATACCCATCACACGTTTCGTGACCCCACGGGGAGCACCACCAAAGGCCCCAGTGGCAGCGCCCGCATGGCGTCACCCCGCCCATGTCAGCATACCCCTCACACATGTCGTGGCCCCATGGGAAGCCCCATCGAAGGCCCCAGCGGCAGCGCCCGCATGGTGTTACCCCGCCCATGTCGACGCACCCGTTGCACGTTTCGTGGCCCCACCTTCGTCCCACCTGCTCTGCGAAACTCACACTTGCATGTGGCTGGGTCCTTCGCCAGGATAAGTTCTCTGTATTTGCCGACGGGTGTCATAGCAGACTTGGACCCCCTAAAAAGGACCCCATTGTGCCATGCGCGATAACAGAAGGAGGCTTCGTATGCTGGAGGAGGAGGTGGCGGATGAGCAGGAGGCTGATCAGGAGAAAGAGGCGGGAGATGAGGACGAAGGACAAGCAGAAACAGGCGGCAGCAGGAGCAAGAGTGGGAGAATCGAGAGAGAGAGAGAGGGAGAGAGAGAGAGAGGTATTCAAAGGAGGGGAGGGAGAGGGATAGAGAGAGAGAGCGAGAAAACGAGAGAGAGAGAGTGAGAGAGAGAGAGAGAGAGAAAAAAAAAAAAAAAAAAGAGAGAGAGAGAGTGAGACGAGACGAAGGTGAAGAGCCGGGAAAGGGCACTGCAGAGAGCCGAGGGCGCAGCCCAGCAATGCAGGAGGTCCAGGCTGCTTGCACGGCGACCCTCCCGTCGCGCATTTTTCCCCGCGCCGCATTAGCAGTCTGTAACGAATTGTGACGAGAGCCGGGAGCTCACGCATCGCAAGCTCTGAACGCAATCTTCGCTAGTCCTACCCCCTCGGCTAGGGTCATCACGAAGTAGCGCAAGAGGGAGTGGCTCCAGAGACACTTTGTCTTCATGGCCTTGTGGTTCTACCGCCACGCTCCGAAAATGGGGCTAACGCCGCCACCTCCACGAAGGGCCCCGCGAAGGAATCAAATGAATTGAGTTGGGGCGTTGGGGCTGACGAATGCGCCGACAACCCTCAGCATCTCCTCGCACCGTCACACGGAAAGAGACTGGGACAAAAGGGGGAGGACAGAGAATGAGGAGGAGGTGCAGGGGAAGATGTTTTCGCGAAACTCGGACAGGTCACAGAGCGACAGGTAGAGAAACGGGTCGCATTGACACAGCGCCGAGGTGATGGCTGCAGATAGCTATCACTTCGGGGGCGACGGCACCTCTAATGTAAGCTCGTCTCTGCCACGGGGGTGTAGTGATCGAAACTGTGCTCGAACATCTACCTCAGTGTGACCGAAACTGGCGCCCGAAATTGTCCGACCGCGCCCGAGTGCGACCGAAATGTGTAGCTCGAAGCTAATCATATTTCCAGCTTCGGTTCTACGTTCGGCCACGTTACGGTTTCAGTCACATATTCGGACACGTTTTCGGTCACATATGTTTTCGCCCAGGCACCTTTCTGGCTGATGAGGGCCGGGCGCCATGACACACGCTCGTTAACCAGGGGCTGGTCGGGGCCCCAGGTAGCAGTAACACCTGGACGTGGTGGGGCACGTCGGGGCGGGGGTGCGCTGCGATCGCCGAAGTATGCTCGCGAGCACCAGCATGTGGAAGGGGGGTCCAGGCCCCCCCTCCCATGCGCACGACCGTTACCGTCACCCAGGGGGGTGAGGGCTGGGTAACGACCGTCAGGTGCCAGAGGAGGAAAACAACAACAACAAAAAAAACGCGTCGCCCTTCAAACTGGCATTGCACCAGGGTGTCTGGCCCGCAGCTTCCTCGGGCGCCTTCTTCGTCAGGGCCTGAAGTGCCATCTTCTGCAAGCACAATGAGGGGCAACGCCCTCGTGGGCGCGGACCGCCCAAAGCCACTGGCATGGGCCTCACTACCATCAGCATGGAAGAACGCTGCCAGGGCCCGGCCTTCGCTTCGACCCAAGGCGCATTCTCCTCGTCCTCCTGGGCTCAAAGAGGAAAACCGCTCCCGCTTTTGCTCGGTAGCATGGCACATTGACGGACTCACCTGGCGGGAGACTGGTGCAAATACGTATGGCTGCCGAGCGCACTGAGCCCCACGCTACTACCTGCCTCGCCCGAGGCAACAACCTTCGACTCGGGCAACGAAGCGAATGCGTGTGCCAAGGAATCGGCGCACACGAATCTCGCCACGCAGGAGCCCCTCCTTTACATCCGTCTGCTTCAGGACTGCGCCCTCGAAGCCGCCTTGCACGCCAGGCCCACTGACCCACCCAAAGCTCTGCTGCCGCAACGGCGTGGCTTGCACCGATGACATGCGCCGTGAGGCGGCAGAGACAAAATCACGAGCTCGACCGATCGCAAGGTGTGAGTATTTTTTCTCGGGAGCGTGCACCGGCCAGTCGGCCAGTCCGCATTGGTCGCGTCGCCCGACGGTGGAAGACCGCAGGTCGCGGGCTGACGGCGCGAACGGCGGCAAGCGGAAAGGGGAAAAGCAGCGGCCCGCAGCGCGACGGCCAAGTGGACCCGCACACCTGTTCCTCCGACGCGTCAGGGACTCCAACCAGCGGGCAACACGAGGGGGGGCACCCTCAAGGAGAATTGGCGCACTCCGACGCGCCAGCGACTCCAGGCGACGGGACAGCAATGACAGGGCACGCCCAAAAGCTAATTAATGGGAGCGTGGGCAAAACAGTTGCCCTCGGCCGACGGAATGAGCGGTGAAGCCAGGCGAACGCAGTAAATCGAGTCGCAGGAACAAAAAACAGACAAAAAACAACAAGGGCGACCTTTACCCGCAAAGTCAGTACGTGAGGCGCGAGCAGGACCGGGCCCGCCTGGTAGGTCGAAGAACCCGTGCTGGACCTTGCCGGGGTCGACATCGCCATCGACGCTAGGCCGACCAGCGCCCAAATCTGCGACGAAGTCACCGTTGATGAGCGGGCATCCCGCCGTGCTGGCCCTCTTGGTGAGGCCCCCGTTGGCCTCACCTCCGTCCCTCTTACAGGGTACCGGCGCATGGGCGCCTCCTAAGTGCTGCAGATCGCAGCCGAGTCGCAGTAGCCACGAGCGCTCTGGACTGCTTGGCAGTATACGGCAGGTTCGTGTCCTGCCGACTTCGGCGTTGGTTCCTGACATCGCGGGGATCGTGCAACCTTGATCGATCGGCCGCCTCCATCAGATCGTATCGCCTGCGGCGTCCCACGTTGAACGCTGGCGGAGGAGTCGCCGCTGGTCGACACGACGCGAACCTTCCGCAGCTGGACTCGAGGAAGAGAAAACGGCATAGACATAAACGCTCGGAGCTCCGAGCGTATATACTATGCTTGTGCCGCTACCTCCTCCCCTGTCACGGGCACGCCGCGGAGCTCGCGTGCTCTCACTGTGGTACTCCTCGGCGCGGGGCGGCGCTGGCGCCGGCTGTGGCGGGCCTGCGGTGGCCGCCGCCGCCGGAGCTGTTCTCAGGGCGCTCCGATCTGAAGGCCTGGCCTGCGGCCATACGGCCAAGGCGCTGAATTGAGGGCCACCCTTGGGCTCCGGAGGGGCCCTGCTTCTCGGGCCGTTCCTTAGCTCTCCTGGCCCCCTCGGCCCGCGTGCCCACACCACGGCGGCGAGCTTCACGGCCGGGTCCCACGGCATCGGCAGGGTGCACCAGGCGCGGCGCGGCGCGGCCGAGATCACAAACTGAGCGGCCTGGGCAGAGACAGCTACGGAGGGGGAGCGGGAGCCGCAGGCGCAAGCGCAGCAGGAGGGAGCAGGAGGAGCAGACGGAGGATGAGAAGCTGGATGAGCAGAAACTCGGGGGGAGCAGGGTCGGGAGGAGCAGGATCGGGGGGAGCGGGAGGGACGACGGAAAAGATAGATGTTCGTTCTGGGGACCTTACTCGAGCCACCCACTCATGAGTCGATGCTGCGTCGAGCGCCAGCCGACTTGAGTCGAATTTGAGTCGAGCTTGAGTCGAGCTTGAGTCGAACTTGAGTCGAACTAGAGTCGAACAGATCAATCAGGCGGGACCCTTGAACTTCCCCAAAACGAGCATCTAATACAAGGCGTGCCCAGGAAAGGCTCAGCAGCACCCCTTCATGCCCTTCTTCACCTTCGCGGACTTCTTCGAAGACTTCTTCTTTTTCTCGCCGGGCGAGCCCGGCGAGCTCTCAGCGGCCGTGGCAACCACGGGGACGTGCTTCTTGATCTCGTCTTCGGGCACGGCCTCTCCGTTCATAATCCTCTTGGACGAAGCCAAACCCACTCAAAATCAGTCCCTGGACCCCTGTGGTACAGTTTTTCACCCCAGATTAGTTTTTCACTGTCCCACGGCCCGAAAGCGGTCCACAGAGGCCGAAACAGGCAAAATACCTTCACGAACCCCGGCGCCTCGAACCTGCCCGCCCTTCCTGCTGCTAAAACCAATGCTGGGCCACGTCAGACCCCCAACCAGCTCCAACCCCAACCGGAGCCGCTGCGTCGCGCAGGTGGGGCGATCGCCCCCTGAGGCCACCGGCAACCTCGCGGGCGGCCCCCGTCGCGACAGGGGCGTCCAGGGCTAGTACGCGCGAGGTCCAGCGAGTGCCACCAGGAGGACCTGGGGCCATCACCGGCGCCCTCGCCAGAGGTGAAGGGAAAAAACCGAGGACCATGACCAAGCCTGAACTCGAGAGCGTTGGTGCCGATCTTGGTCATCGTCCATCTTGGTCACCCTCGATTCGTGGATCATCCTCGGGCAATCTATGTGGTGCAACCTACGTAGTGAATATATGTAGAGTTATCAAAGTGATGCAAGGTGCGTGGTGCAATATATGTTGTGCAATCTACGTGTTGCGCTGTATGTGGTGGAAAATTCGTAGTACAATATACGCGATACAACCTACGTGGTGAAACAAATTTCTGTTCGCAATGAGTTGTCCACTCCACTGCTCGCGCAAACATCCCACCCACCCACCCGCAACTTGGTTTGCAAAATCTCTTAAGACCGTGACGGTGGGTACCAAATGGCACTTGGCAACGACAGCGACACCGACGACGACAGCGACAACGACGACGACGACGACGACGCCGACAACGACTACGACGACACCGACGACGTCTCCAACGACTTCGACGACACCGACAACGACGACGACGACGACGACACCGACGACGACGACGACGACGACGCCGACGCCGACGACGACGATGACGACGATGACAACCACGACCACGATGACGACGCCGACGACGACGACAACGACGGCACCGACGACGACGACGTCAACGACGCCCGACGAAAACGACTACGACGACGACGACGACGGCGGCGACGACGACGACGCCGACGTCGACGACGACGAAGACGACGACGACGCCGACGCCAACGACGACGACGAAGACGACGACGACGTCGCCAACGAAGACGACGACGAGGGAGGAGGGAGGACGACGACGACGACAACGACGACAACGACGACAACGACGAGGGAGGAGGCAGGACGGCGACGACGCGAACGACGAAGAAGGAGGAAGGACGGCGATGCCGACGACGACAACGACGAGGGAGGAGGGAAGACGACGACGACGACGACGACGACGACGACAACGACGACGACGACGACGACGACGGCGACGAAATAGGAGGGACGACGACGACACGCCGACGACGGACGACGACGACGAGGGAGGAGGAGGAAGGACGACCATGGCGACAACGACGACGGAAACGACCACGACGTCAAAGAGGACGACGACGACGAACACGAGGAAAGACAGAGGACGACGTAGGCGACGACGACGACGACGCAGGAGGAGGGAGGACGGCGACGAAGACGACGACGACGACGACGACGCAAAACCGCGCGCGCACGCTTTTGTTGAAAATCCGTGTTGCGAAACCTTGTGTTTTTGTATTTTTTGACACACGATTATAAAATCCTTCCGTTGCCTATGGGTTTTGAAGGATTTCGGCATACGCGCACGACGACGCGCGCGTCTGCACTTCGTCCCGTTTTTTGCAAAAGATTCTTGCGACGACACACGCGCAAGGGCGTTCGACAGATTCCGACACACGCGCGCGAAGACCGTTTGGTAGCATGTTATGAAAATCTTGGAAAAAACTATGGTTTTCGCACGGTTTCGCAAGAGCTCGCGCGTAAACTTTTTTAGCAAATCAGTGTTGCGAAACCCTATGTGTTTGTATGTTTTTGGGAAACTCGATTTTGAAATCCTTCCGACACCGAAGGTTTTTAGAGGATTTTGGCATGCGCGCGCGACGACGCGCGCGTGCGCATTTCGTTCCATGTTTTGCAAGGGATTCGTGGGAAAAAAATCGTATGCTAGAGCAAAAAATGTCCCCGCGCATCGTTTTTTAAAAGGGAACCTCCGGGGGAACGATACCGGCCCCCCTGGGATAGTGCAAATTCATAAATAGGATGGCCATGTGACTAGAATCGTATACGATTTACATACCCGAAGGGGGGGGCGGATAACGCTGGGGGGGGGGGGGGGGATAAAGTCTATTCTCTTTTTAAAAGGAGAACTCACTTGCCGAACTTGAAATTGTCGACCCTACTGCTCGCGCAATCATCCCACCCACCCACCCGCAACTTGGTTTGCAAAACCCACGCGGGAGCGATTGCGATGAGTGCTGGGTGTTGACTGGTGCACCTCTGCGGCCGCGCTAGCACGCGGATTCTCGCGCGCGCGGCGGCCAGCGAGTCTGGCGCGACCGACGCAAACGCGGTGGCGCTGACCGTTGGGCACATCCCAGAGGGCACTTCAATGCGAGTTGGCGAGTTGGGCGGGCGCGGTATTATGGCAACGTCGACGACGGTAGACACGATGATGATAGTAGCGATGCTGGTGGCGACGATGCTGACAGCGACAACGGGACAGCCAGTGACGGCGCCAATGCTGATCACGCCGGCGACGATGACGGCGTCTTCGCGTTGGTGGTGAAGGTTTTGGAAGAAACTCGAAATCCGCGCGGCGACAGACGCGCAAGAGTGGCTAGCATGTTGTTACTTGACACGGATCGTGCCACCCCAATACGCGCGCAAGGGCGTTCGAACGATTTCGACATGCGCGCGCGAAGCCAGCTGGGTTGCATGTTAAGAAAATGTTGAAAAACGCATGGTTTTCTTAAGAATTCGCAAGAGCGCGCGCACGTTTTGTTTGAAAATTCGTGTTGCGAAAACATGTGTTTTTATATGTTTGTTGGACAGTCGACTTTGACTTCCTTCCAGAACCGAAAGTTCGTGAAGGATTTCGGCATGCGTGCGCGACGACGCGCGATCTCGGCACGGGACTGTTGCAAGGGGTTCTCGCGACGGCACGCGCGCAGAGGCGTTCGAACGATTTCGGCATGCGCGCACGAAGCCCGCTTGGTGGCATTTTATGAAAATGCTGGAGAACAAAAAAAAACAATGGTTTCCTTAAGAATTCGCAAGAGCGCGCACGTTTCAAAATATTTGTTTTGAAAATTAGCGTTGCGAAATTATGTGTTTTTTTTTTTTTTAATGATGGTGTTGACACTCGATTTCGAAACCCTTCCGAAACCGAAGGTTTGTAAAGGATTTCTGCATGCGCGCGCGACGACGCGCGCGAGTGCACTTCGTCCTATATGTTGCAGGGGACCCTTGACAACTTATGCTTTTTTGATAAACGAGTGCGCGCGCATTGTTGTTTTGCAGAGGATGGCGGGGGGTGGCGATACAGACCCCCCTAAATTCATATTTAGCATGGACGATGGGGCAAGATCATATGTAGATTGCAATACGGAAAAATATTTAAACCCGGGGGGAGGGTGGTAGAACCGATCTTCTTTATAAAAAGGGAAATTTGTGTTTACAAACGAGCTGACGAATTCCATGCTCTTGCAAACATCCCACCCACCCACCCGCAACTTGGTTTGCAAAGCCCGTGCGGCGGCGATTGCGATGAGTGATGGGCGTTTGCTGGTGCACCTCTGCGGCCGCGCCAACCCAAGCACGCGCGCGCGCGGCGGCCAGCTAGTCTGGCGCGACCGACGCGAACGCGGTGGCGCTGACCGCTGCGCACATCCCAGCGGGCACTTGACTGCGAGTTGGCGGGTTGGGCGGGCGCGGTATCATGGCAACATCGACAACAGTAGACACGATGATGATAGTAGCGATGCTGGTGGCGACGTTTACAACGACGACGGCGCGGCCAGTGACGGCGCCGATGCCGATCACGCCAACGACGATGACGGCGTCCTCGCGTCGGTGATGAAGGTTTTGGAAAAGGTTCGACATGCGCGCGCGGCCGACGCGCGAGACTGGCCCGCATGGTAGTATTCGACACGGACAGTCCCACCCCCCAGCATGCGCGCAAGGGCGTGCGAATGATTTCGGCATGCGGCGCGAGAGGCCCGTTTGGCAGAATTCCATGAACGTGTTGGAGGGCCGATTGTTTCCTCAAGAATTCGCAAGAGCAAGAGAGCAGGTTATTTTGAAAACTGGTGTTGCGAAACCATGTGTTTTTATTTGAATTGGACACTTGGTTTTGAAATCGCTACGAAACCCCAGGTTTTTGACGGATTTCGGCATGCGCGCGCGACAACGCGCGCGTGCGCACGTCGTCCAATTGTGTTGCACATGATTCTCGAAACAGGCGCACAAGGGCGTTCGAGCGATTTCGACATGCGCGCGCGAAGCCGTTTTGGTAGCATGTTATGAACATGTTGTAAAACCTTTGGCTTTTTCACAAATCGCAAGAACGCGCGCAAGCTTTCTTTGAAAATCCGTGTTGCGAAACGCTGTGTTTTCATATACGTTTTTTGGCCACTCGATTTTGAGATCGTTACGACACCGAAGGTTTTGAAGAATTCTGGCATGCACGCGCGACGACGCGCGGGTGTGCACTGCGCCTCGTTAGTTGCAAGGGATTCTTAAGCGGGAGGGGGGTCGATACCGGCTCGGTTTCGGTTGGGATGGTACGAGCTCATATTTAGAATGGGCGATGGGGCAGAATCATATGTGAACTGCAATACGAAAAGTGGGGGGGGGGGGGGGCCGGGAACCCGGGGGCCTGGGTGCCCAGGTGCCCAGGTGCCCGGGTGCCCGATAGCCCTGTAGCCCTATAGCCCTATAGCCTTCTAGCCCTATAGCCCTATAGCCATATAACCGTAAAGCCCAAATAGCCCTATAGCCTTATAGCCTTATAGTCTTATAGCCCTGTGGCCCTATGTCACTATAGCACTGTAACCTTATAGCCCTATAGCCTTATAGCCCTACAGCCCTATAGCCCTACAGCCGCATAGCCCTACAACCCTATAACCCTATAGCCCTATAGCCCTAGCCATATAGCCCTATAGCCCTATAGCTCCACCCAGAACCCGATAGCCCTATAGCCCAATAGCCCTATAGCCACATAAACCTATACCCCTAAAAAAATAATGAGTGGGGCATTTCTCCGGTATCATTCTCTTATAAGACAGGAGACTCTACGCTGTGATATCAGGGCGGCGGCGGGCGGCGACTCCGACCACGGAGCCGCCGGACCGACCCCCAGGCCCGGACGACTGGCAGCGACGAGGCGATCGGCGACGGAACGGCGACGGGGACCACGGAGCCGCCAGACCGACCCCCTGGCCCAGACCACGGGCGGCGACGAGGCGGCCACGGGGCGGCGACGGCGACCACGGAGCCGACAGGCCGACCCCCAGGCCCAGACGACGTGCGGCGACGAGGCGGCGACGAAACAGCGACGGGGCGGCGACGGCGACCACGGAGCCGCAAGGCCGACCCCCAGGGCCAGTTCCGAACTACAGACATGATTACACCAGAGGAAAACCCCAATCAGTGGATGGTTTGACAATTCGGAAGGCGCCGAAGTTTCGAAGGGGCCCTACATAGCGATGCGGTGTAAGTTTTGGACGCGTTTTCGATCGTGACATCGCCCGTGCGATCTATAGCGAGACCGATCGTGATCGATAAAGAGATCCATGTGATGTCGATTGTGAGATCGATAGAGAGGTGGGTAAAGAGATCGATGGTGGGACGATCGGTAGAAATCGACCAGGAAACCGGGAAACCGGAAACCTGCGAACCCCGCCGCCCACCGAACTCAGCCCAGAACAACTGAACGGGCACGCGGGAACCCGCAACCGGGAGTTCAATGGATGATGGGATCGTCGGATCGATAGCGGGATCAATAGTGTGAAGACAATAAAAAAGTCGATCGTGAGACCGATGGTGAAATCGATTCAGTGAGATCGATTGTAAAATCGATCCTGAGATCGCATAGTGATAACGGTAATGAACCGATTGTGAGATCGATTGTGAGATCGCTCGTGCGCTCGATAGACACGTGGATAAAAAGATCGATGGTGGGACGATGGATATAGACGACGGAACCGTGAGCCCTGAAACCCGCGAACCCCGCCGCCCACCGAACTCGGCCCGGAACCAGCATTGCAAATGTGCGCCCGGGAACCCAGAACCGGGAGTTTGATGGTGATAGTGATGAGATCGTGGGATCGATAGCGGGATCGATAGTGCGAGGACAATAGTAACGTCGATCGTGAGACCGACAGTGAAGTCGATTCAGTAAGATCGATACTGAGATCGACCGTTAGCAGTGCCACATATAATCATATCGATAGTGAATCGCTTGCAATATGAACTATGGAGGGAGCGTGATCCACCGCCGCTTTACTGTGGAAAATTGCCGCCCTTTTCCTCCGGAACCCGGGGGTCCCCCCCCCACCCGAAAATCCCCCCCCCTGCTGGAACCCCCCACCCCCCCCCCTTCCCCGGCAAAACCCCCCCCCCCCTAAAACCCCCCCCCCCAACTCGAAAACTGGGGGGGTCACTACCGGTTCGAACCCCCCCCCCCCTCGAAAACCGGAGGGGGGGGTCACTACCGGTTCGAACCACTGAGCTGTCCCACTGTTCCCACCACTGTCCCCACTGTCCCTACCACTGTCCCCACTGTACCTCTGTCCCATTGTCCCACCGCCGTCCTCGCCACCGCCTTCACCACTGTCCCCACCACCACTGTACCCTCCACTGTCCTACTGTTTCCACCACATTCACACTGTCCCCACACCACTGTCCCCACCACCACCGTCCCCACCACTGTCCCACTGTCCCCACTGTCCCCACCATTGTCCTCACCATTGTCCCCATCACTACCGTCCCCACCACTGTCCCACTGTCCCCACCCCTGTCCCGCTGTCCCCTCACCACTGTGCACTCCCCCTCGGTTTGCGAGAGGAGGGGGGGGGTTCGAACCGGTAGTGACCCCCCCCAGTTTTCGAGCTCGAGGAGGGGGGGGGGGTTCGAACCGGTAGTGACCCCCCCCCCTTTTCATGATGAACTGGGGGGGGGGGAGGGGTTCGAACCGGTAGTGACCCCCTCCCGGTTTTCCGGAGGGGGGGGGGAGGGGTTCGAACCGGTAGTGACCCCCCCCCGGTTTTCCGCCAGCAGCGGTAGAACATGCTCTTTCGAACTATGAGATCGATGGTGAAATCGATCGTGAGATGGATCGAAAGGTGGGTAAAAAGATCGAGGGTATTTACCGATCGATGAAGAGATCGAACAAGAAACCGGGAAACCAGAAACCCGGGAACCCGGCCGCTTACCAAAATCGGCCTAGAAGCAGCAAACGTGCACCTGGGAAGCCAGAGCCGGGAACCTGGGAACCTTGGAACCCGGCCGCCACCCGAAATTGGCCCGGTACTTTCGCCAAATGTTTCAATCTCCGCTAGGACCCCTTCAGTGCAAGCAATCACCTAAGTGCAAGCACTGCTTAGGGGAAAATGCAGCCTACGAACACAGACTTTGCAAATCTCATGTTCTGAAGTAGTGGTGCAGGTCTGCAAATCAGAAACACTGGGCAAGTATGCAACTACCGAAAGCATAAAAGGTGGTGTTCCCATACTAAAAATGGTGGCCCCCTTCGGGGGCCTCATAAACCACCAAACCATTGAAAATCTATTGGCTCGGCCTCTTGGGCCTCCTGGGGGTCCAAGAGGGCTTCAAGACGGCTCACGATGGTTTCAAGATGGCCTAAGATGGCCCCAAGACGGCCCAAGATGGCCCCAAGAGGGCCACAGAGGCCCCCAAGGCGGCCCCTGAGAGCCCCTGGAGGATCCCCCCAAGGGCGCCTCCAAAGGCCAGAAGCATTGATTCCCCTATGGCTTTTCAAAGATTTTAGCGTTCTCGCCTTTTTCGGTTCTCGGAGGCCCATGACGGTCCAAGATGCCCCCAAGACGGCCCCAGAGCACCCCGAGAGGGCCCCAAGATGACACAAGAAGGCCCCACGATAGCCCACCCGAGAGGCGCCAATAAGCCCTAAAGAGGCTCCCAAAAGGCCCCCCAGGGGCCCCCAAGAGGCCTCCAAGAGGCCTCCAAGAGGCTCCCACGAGGTTCCCAGGAGACCCCACAACGACTGGATTGCACGCTCTGGACGTGCACCCCGCGAGGCGAGAGGAATCTTACGGGCGTAAGCCCGATTGTGAGGGAACAGAGCCGACCCAGAGCCTGCGGGGGGCGCCCTGGGGTCGGCCGGGGGGGAGGGTCAGGGCGAATCGCCTGGGAGCACGACGAAGCCCCCCCCCCCCCCCTCTCCGCTCGCCCCGCCTCCCGTGAGCATCGTTCCACCGATCCCTGGCCCCACTGGCGTGGCCTGGGCCCCACCGGCCGATGTACCCCCCTCGATGGGGAGATCGGCTGTCCCCTTCGGGCCTCTAGGGGCAAATCCCCGACTGGGGTGGTGGGATGATGGGGGTCGGGATGGGGATAGGGCTGTGGATGGGGACCCGTGGAAAAATACGGATCCCCGCTCGCCCCGCCTCCCCGACCCTGGAGGGCGGGCTTCGGACTTTTTGGTCGGCGGCGAGCGCGAGTGCACATCGCATTCTGGTAGCTGGCGGGCCACGCCGGGGCTACGGGCACACACAGCAAGCCAGGGAAAGAAGAGAGCGGCCGCGGAGGAGGAAAGCGGGAGGAGACCTCAGGCATTGAGGATCGTCGCCAAGAAGAACGTCACAGGCGTCGGACACACCCCCGGCCCCCATCCGCTCCGACGGGCTCCGCAGGAGGCGTCCCGAAGCTTCCGACAAGCGCAAGCAGGCTCGCTTCGGGGATTGAGTGCTCCTGCTTCCTGGCTGGGACCACAAGCTTTGATGCCGCGCCAAAGCCCAAGTGAGGCCCAGTCCCCGAGGCGAACACTTGACTTTAGGTATGGCCCCCACCCCTCTGGTATACTGCCCCAGCCTCCTCCTCCTCCTCCTCCTCCTCCTCCTCCTCCTCCTCCTCCTCCTCCTCCTCCCTCAGCCTCCCCATCCCCCACCACCCTCCTCGTCCTCCTCCTCGATCTTTCTCCTGGGCCTTAGTCGTCGTCCTCCTCATCTTCCTATTCCTCGCTTCTTTTCTTCCTCCAGACGAACCCATCATTTAAGACAGCTGGCAGCCAAAATCCTCTGGAAGAGCTCTGGCGGGACCGTGATGCGGTGGCTTCCGGCCGGGTTCTTCTCGGTGCAGCCTGTGGCGATGACCTCGCCCGTCAGGTAGCCCCCCACGACGGCGCGCTCATCGCTCTCGTTCACAATGGTGGTCTCGCCCTGGACGATGGTGCCCGGCAGGAACAAGACCTTGCCTTTGACCTTCAGCTTGGGGCAAGCCTTCAGCGACGGCACGCCGTGTGGGCAGGCAGCCTCCATGTCAGGAACCATCTTGTAGTTATCGTCGAAGCTCACAATGGGCTTGAAGGCCCCAGGGCTCAGGACTGGAGTGAAATCGTCGCTGAGCTCGTAGGCGTCGCTGCGGAGCCCAAAGAGCTGGTTGCAGGTTTTCACAGGGGCGAAGCGATCGAAGGGTACCACGACTGCCTCCGAGCCAGGCAAGGACGCTATGGCGGCACCCATGGCGGTCTCCAGCTGGTACACCTTGGGGTTGGGTTTCTCCTTGCTTGTCGGGTCGACCTTTTTCTCATTGACAATCAGCGGCAGGGGCAGCACGCCACCCACCATGGCCTCCTTCAGCTTCTTAAGATTTAACCAGAGGTTGTTGGTGTTGAAGAACCGGTGCTTGCCAATGTCCTGGGCTGCTGCACCCTTGCCACGCCAAGCCAGATGGCCATGAGCGATCAAACGAACCGTGGCCAGATCACAAAACAGTCAGGCGCCAGCAAGCTCGCACTCATGCTGGATCGCTGTTTCGAATGGCCACGGTCGTCTCATAGCTCTCGGGCCTTTCCCTGGCCTTCACTTGGGCAAAGACAGCACGGGTCCTGAAACGCCTTCTCGTCCTCCTCGGGGCACTGCGCGGACTCCCGCAGGGTGAGCTTGCCCGTTGCCAGGTCCCTGCACAGGTGCCCGCCCTTCTTGTCGTCCTCGCCGCGCACGCAGACCTCAGAGAGCGGCCGGCGCAGCTGCTGCGCGCCCCCGAGAATGAAAGCAATGGTTTTGATGTGCGAACCTGCTGTGCTGTTGAGGAGCTGGGTACAAGTGTGCCTCCTCCTTCTGCTCTTCCTCCTCCTCCATGCGACCAGGGTGTCCCGCCCATCCGTTGCGCGGATCTCTCTCTCTCTCTCTCTCGCTCTGGCATCGCCGAGGGCCTCCATCAGCATCGGAGCCCCCCCGGACGCGAGCCGGCCCAGCAGACGCAGGTCGAGCGTCGCGCCGAGATTGTCGCTGTTGGACACGAAAGCGTACTCGTAGCCGCCCTCCAGGGGGCTTACAGGTACAGGCAAACGCCGCAGAATGGCAATGGTGATAGGATGGCGGACCATGAGCATCAGCGGCATGCATGTAATGATGCGGCTTCCTCTTCATCCCCACTACCCTCATCCTCGCCTCTTATCTTCCCTCCCATTTCTCCATTGTCCTCCTCATCCCGCTGCTTCGTGTGTTGGTTTTGCATGTGTGATCTTCCCCTATTCACGATTATATTTCCCCTTCTCTGTTGTCCTCCCCATCATGCCGCTGCTGTTCACGCTTATCTTTCTGTGGTCCTGCTCTCCTCACGATCTTCGTCCTCCCGTCCAATCGTATCCCTCCTCCCTCTTGAGTGCGGGTCGAGCAACTCCTGTTTCATATTGTTTATCATCATCGTCGTGTTCCTCACCTCGCCTCCTTCGTTATTGTCTTCCTGTTCGCTCTTGGGTGCTCGACCCCTCCTGCTCGCTCCTGTTCTTTATCCCCACCACATTCCCGCCCTTCCCCTCCTTCTGCTCCTCCCGCCGAGGCGCGTCCATACTCCTGCGTCTTCTCTTTTCGCCTTCTCGATGCCAGCACCGAAAATGAGACGGATTCCATGCGACCAGATCGTTCTGCAGCGGCCCTCCTCGCCGTCCCCCCTGTCTCCCCAGAGAGAAAAGGAGGATGGTGGTGATAGATCCCTAGCGCCCGCTGTCATGTGGATGCTAGAGGCTCTGAACACACGTGAAAAAAAGACTGGAATTATCCTGGCGAAGGACCCAACCATATGCAATCGTGAATACTGCAATTGTGAATATCTTCTCGGTGGAGCCCCCTACGGGGCCACGAAGCGTACGAGGGGTGTGCCGAAATGGGTGTGCGGGACGCATGCGGGCACACCCACTAGGGCCTTCGGTGGAGCTCCCTATGCGGCCACGAAACGTGTGAGGGAGTTGACGAAATGGGTGTGGTTGACGCATGCGGGCGCGGGCATTGGGGCCTTCGGTGGAGCTCCCCATGGGACCACGAAACGTTTGAGGGGTGTGCCGAAATGGGTGTGGTTGACGCATGCGGGCGCGGGCACTGGGGCCGAGGGGTGTGCCGAAATGGGTGTGCGGGACGCATGCGGGCACACCAACTGGGACCTTCGGCGGAGCTCCCTATGGGGCCACGGAACGCGTGAGGGGCGTGCCGAAATGGGTGTGGCTGACGCATGCGGGCGCGGGCACTGGGGCCTTCGGTGGAGCTCCCTATGGAGCCACGAAACGTGTGAGGGGTGTGCCGAAATGGGTGTGGGGACGCATGCGGCGCGGGCACTGGGGCCTTCGGTGGAGCTCCCTATGGAGCCACGAAACGTGTGAGGGGTGTGCCGAAATGGGTGTGGGGACGCATGCGGGCGCGGGCACTGGGGCCTTCGGTGGAGCTCCCTATGGAGCCACGAAACGTGTGAGGGGTGTGCCGAAATGGGTGTGGGTGACGCATGCGCATTCGGTGGAGCGGCCACGCGTGGCCGACGCATGGGGCCACTGGGGCCTTCGGTGGAGCCCCCTATGGAGCCACGAAACGTGTGAGGGGTGTGCCGAAATGGGTGTGGCTGACGCATGCGGGCGCGGGCACTGGGGCCTTCGGTGGAGCTCCCTATGGAGCCACGAAACGTGTGAGGGGTGTGCCGAAATGGGTGTGGGTGACGCATGCGGGCGCGGGCACTGGGGCCTTCGGTGGAGCTCCCTATGGAGCCACGAAACGTGTGAGGGGTGTGCCGAAATGGGTGTGGGTGACGCATGCGGGCGCGGGCACTGGGGCCTTCGGTGGAGCTCCCTATGGAGCCACGAAACGTGTGAGGGGTGTGCCGAAATGGGTGTGGTGACGCATGCGGGCGCGGGCACTGGGGCCTTCGGTGGAGCTCCCTATGGAGCCACGAAACGTGTGAGGGGTGTGCCGAAATGGGTGTGGGTGACGCATGCGGGCGCGGGCACTGGGGCCTTCGGTGGAGCTCCCTATGGAGCCACGAAACGTGTGAGGGGTGTGCCGAAATGGGTGTGGGTGACGCATGCGGGCGCGGGCACTGGGGCCTTCGGTGGAGCTCCCTATGGAGCCACGAAACGTGTGAGGGGTGTGCCGAAATGGGTGTGGGTGACGCATGCGGGCGCGGGCACTGGGGCCTTCGGTGGAGCTCCCTATGGAGCCACGAAACGTGTGAGGGGTGTGCCGAAATGGGTGTGGGTGACGCATGCGGGCGCGGGCACTGGGGCCTTCGGTGGAGCTCCCTATGGAGCCACGAAACGTGTGAGGGGTGTGCCGAAATGGGTGTGGGTGACGCATGCGGGCGCGGGCACTGGGGCCTTCGGTGGAGCTCCCTATGGAGCCACGAAACGTGTGAGGGGTGTGCCGAAATGGGTGTGGGTGACGCATGCGGGCGCGGGCACTGGGGCCTTCGGTGGAGCTCCCTATGGGGCCACGAAACGGTGTACTGGGTGGGTGAAGAGGAGAGGAGGAGAGGAGAGGAGGAGAGGAGAGAAGAGGAGAGAAGAAGAGAGGAGAGGAGAGGAGAGGAATGATGATGATAATGATGATGATAATGATGATGACGATGATGATGATGATGATGGTGATGATGATGATGATGATGATGATGATGATGATGACGATGAGGATGATAGGAGGGGAGAGGAGGCGGAGGAGGAGAGGAGGAGGAAGGAGACGCGGGGCACCGTCTCTTCAAAACGAGGACCCAACACCACAGGATGGTTGGGAAATTTGAATGCCGCACGCACCGAAGTTATCGAATCGTCATACGGCCCTCCTCGCCTGTTAATCCGAACCAGTCAAAGCTTAACACAAGGTCAAGCCAAATTAATCCAGACCCGGCCAGAGTAAACTGAAGTTGGCCGACAAGGCCCAAGGAAAGTCATCACCGCACCGCTAAGCACAAAGTGGAGTGTCATCAGGCCCCTTCGAGTCCTCTGCATTCAGAACTGTGTGTTCATTACTTGTACAAGGCACAGGGGCCCAAGTGGCCGATTTCTTCGGGCGAAGGCCCAATGAGCTTTCCGAGATGGCCCCAGGCGGCCCCCAGACGGCCCAAGAGGCCCTCAAGACGGCGCAAGAGGTTTCCAAATGAACCTCTAAGAGGACCCGTAGAGGCCCGAAACAACGATTTCCTAAGAGGAGGCCGAAATCGGGGAAAGCGATTGGGCCTTGGGAGCCTCCCCCCCCAAGCTAGCCCCCAAGACCGTCAACAAGCCCCCGTGAACCCTCCAGAAGCACCCACGATGCCCCACGAGGCCCTCGAAAGGCCTCAAGAGCCCCCCCCCTGCGACATCCCAAAGAACATTGGCCCACAACCCACCACGGTAACGGGATTGGCTGAAAGCCACAAGATCCACCGCCCCCTTTTGCTTGCGAAGGGTGCTTGGCGTGCCGAAATTTAGGATTCCATGGCCTCTCCGAATGACCCTGCGACGTACCCAACCCACGGCACTAAGGGATGATATACGGTGTGCCGGCAATAGTGTGACAGCAATACTGCAAGAGACGGTGCTCGGCCGAGATCTACATCGTGCGAAGTGTGCGCGGTCGACTCGCAGAACAAAGGTACAAAAAGGCCAAGGGGAAGCAAAAGGAAGACATCGGGGTGCAGAATAATCACCTCGGCAGAAGCAGCGACATGATGGAGCATGGGCAAGATAAGGTTACATTGGCGGAGACGCAACCAGACAACGAAGTGTCTTTTGTCAACATGCTCAACACATGCGCGGCCAGCCCACCCCCAGGGATGGCGAGGTCCTCGAGGTTTGCGGGGTACTTGACTGTGCTGGCCAACCCCCCCTGTAGCCTTCAAAAGTGGCGACAATTTCACACTTCGCAGCCCCCCACCGAGGGATGGCGAGGTCCCCTGGCCCCCCCAGCAGCCTTTGGCGACAAGTTCACACTTTGCTGCCCCCCAGGGATGGCGAGGTCCCGTTTGGGTCTGCGTGTGGCCCCACTGCGCGGGCTCCCTCAGCAGCCCTTGAAAGTGGCGACAGTTTCACACTTCGCAGCCCCCCAGGGATGGCGGGGTCGAGCTGGTCCAGCTTCGTCCCGCCCTGACTCGGACGGCACGCGCATGAACCAGAGAGACGCTTCGGCTTTTCGCCGCCCTGGTGATGTGCTGGCCTCGTGCCGCCCTGGTCCTGGGGACAACGTTGCTTCCGCACCCTGGGAATCAGCTGCAGTGGCGAAGATAAGCGTGCCTGCGACAGCGTGCAGACGGTCGGACTTCCTCGCGAGCAGGTCGCTTCCTCCCACTACGTCCCACTTTTTCGCCGCCCTGGTGTTGACAGCACTGTGGATGCAATCTCTCCGTTTCCCCACGATGCACCAACTTTTTGACGCCCCCTCCTCGCCCGGAAAATCAATTGATGCGGCCTTCCGCGGCGAAGAAAGTGGCGAAGATAAGCGTGCCTGCGACAACGTACAGACGGTCGGCCTTCCTCACGGGGATGTTGCTTTCTTCCGCGCTGTTCCGGCCTTTCGCCGCCCTGACGTGGAGGATTCAGTGGGGAGCGGCCAGGGAAACCTGGGCGAGACGAGGGCCGGGGCGCTGGCGCTCCGCGGGCCCAGCTGGGGACCCTTGACCCCGGACGCGGCCGCTGCGCACCTGGCCCCAGCACTCGGTTCGCTCTGCGGCTGTGGCCCTGGTCTCCTCCAACGCTGTCCAGGCTTTTCGCCCCCCCGGCTACCTGCTTCTTCCCACGCTGGTCGGGCTCTTCGCCCTCGGGGCTCCCTCCTGCCGCGTCCTCGCGCTGCCTTCCTGCTCCCCCCCCCTCCGGCCGGCGCCGCCTCGGCAACGGCGGCCCCGCCAGTGGCGCGTCCCGCCTCTGGCCCGCCGGCGTCTCTCGTCGGCCTGGTCGCACACCCCTTCGGGTTCTTACCTGGTCATCTCGGGGGCGCGCAAACATGGATCGGGGGAGGTGCCCTCCCTCCCCAAAATGCGGCCGGTGCCGCCTCGTTCTGCGGCGGAAATCCGCGATTTCCCATGGAGACGGGACCCGCCGCTAATCCACGCCCCCCTGATCCGTGTTTGCGATCGCCTGATCGGCCACCGCCTGATACGCTGCATCACCGGAGGCCAGCCGCAGCCTCTGGGCTGCCCCCGCGCTGCGCGGCATAGCCCAGCGCTGGCGCTTCCAGCGGGGGTGGCTCAGGCGCTTACCAGTGTCGCCGTCTTCACCTGGTGTCGCCTTCCTGCTCGTGCTCATTTTGTCCACGGTTTTCTTCCGCATGGTCTCCGCGCTCTCGGCGCCTGCGCCTGCTCACCTCATCGGCTGGTCCCTGGATGTTCGCTCCCTGGGCGTCCGTTCGCCTCGCGTTGGTTTGACTTTGCGGTCCTCGAGTTTTGGCTTCCTCCCGGCATTTTCCTCCCCGGCTGCTCCTCTACCTCAAAATGTTCCGGGCCACTACGAGTACATCGTGTACCCCATCAAAATCTTCCCCTTCACGACCGGCCTCGGCCACCCGCTGCTCGTTACGCAGCTGCGCCCTGGCGCCCCCCTTCACTTCGTCAGCACGCCCGCGACGGTCTTCACGATCCGAGCGACTGTGTCCTCTCCTCCCCTCTGCTCTCCCCGCGTTCCGCCGTGCCCCAATTCGCTTCGGGTGCGTCCCGCCCACAGCCCGACCGCCGCCTGCCCCTGCTTCGGCTCGCTTGCGCTCACTGACAAACACAACCTCGTAAGCGTTTCCAGAACGGCTGGGGCACCAATTGTCCAATAGCTGGCCAAGCTCTGTCCCAACGTTTGGCAACATCCACGTTTCCAGAAAGACAGGGGTCGGCGGTGACTCGCCGTAAGCCGTAGGCGTCTTCGATCCGATGCCCCCTAGCCTGCCGGATGCTTGGCGTGCCGCATCTGAGACCTCTAGTTGGCTCTCCCAAGCGATTCCCAAAGAATTTTGGCACAGGGTGCAGGCACCAGAAAATCAGAAGCACTTGCCTCAAGATTGGCCACGTTTGCCCACGATGGCCTCCAGGGCGGCTCCAGACGGTGGAAGATGGCCTCCAAACCGGTTCCAAGACACTTCCAAGACGGTCAAGATGGCCCCAAGAGGGCCCAAGATGGCTCCAAGACGGTCCCAAGTGGCCGCAAGACGGCCCAAGAGACACCCAGTGCGGCCCAAGAGAGCTCCAGGAGGCCCTCCAGGAGTGCCCACAAAGGTCAAACTCATTAATGCTCCTGTAATTTTCACCTGATTCTTAAGCCAATACGGCCCCAGAGGCCTCCAAGACGCGCCCAAGACAGCCCCCAAGATGCCCCCAAGAATGGGCCCAAAGATGACTAAGAGATCCCCAAGACGGCCCACCAGGCGCCTTAGAGGGCTTCCAAGAGCCACAAACGAGACCTCCAAGACTGCCCCCAAGGGTCACAAAAGAGCTCTGAGACGGCCCAAAGGCCCACAAGACGGGCTCCGAAGGCGTCGGACGGGCCAAGAACGCTCCAAGACGGCCCAACAGGCCCCCAAGAGGCCCGCAGAAGCCGCCAAGAGGCTCCAGGAGGCCCCAAGGGGGATCCAAAGAGGCCCCAAGAGGCCCTAAGAGGCCCCAAGAGGCCCCAAGAGGCCCCAAGGAGGCCACACGAGGTCCCTCGGAGGCCCCCCCGTCCTCAGTCTCCTCCCTCCTGACTCCTCTCCCCCGTCCTCCCCCAAGGGTTCCCGCAACGGCTGGCAGAAAACAAGGTCCAATAGCTTGTCCGGACTTTGGCCCAACGTGTGGCCACATAGACGTTTCCACAAGGGCAGGGGCCAGCGGTGATTCGCCGTAAGCGGCTTCGACTTAGCGCCGATGCTGAATCGAACCTTCCAGGAATCGCAATCTTGAGGGGGGAAGGCGGGAGGCGAGAAAAAGATATACTTCGCTTGATTTCTCCGCCCTGCCTGCAGGAGCTGGTCAAGCTTCCCGGAGCACACGAGCGCGGCGTAGATGTCCCCGTGCCCCGGCGGGCACCACTCGCAGCTGGGCTTCTGCGGCCAATCGATCGGCTTCATTGTCTCCGCGTCCACCTTGGGGGACTTGTTCTGCTGGAACGCGACGCCGTCCCACTCCTTCGCGATCTCGGGATACTTCTTGAAGAACTCCTTGGTGTCAGCCTCGAGCCCATGTTTTACTCGCGGTAACAACCGTTACTGGCCCTCCCACCCCACCCCTCACCCCGCCCTGGTAACGTCAGGATTTGCGCCGGCGACACGGGAATTTGCCCTGGGCTTTCCCAAATGGCGCCGGCGCGAATGCTCACGTTACAAGCCCCCTCCTCCACCACCACCACCACCACCACCACCCCTGGTAACGCCAGTTATCAGCAGTAGATCAAAAAATGGTATCCTCAGTAGAGAAGGAGTTCATCAGCATGAACTTCACGGGGAGCCCCTCGCCGCGCAGCTTCAGGACCTGCTTCGCGATGAGGTCCAGGAAAGTGTTGCCTCCCTTCAGGGGGAGCAGGCTCTTCGCCTTGTCGAGGCCCATCCCGGTCCCCAGGCCGCCGTTGAGCTTCAGGAGCACCGTCTTGCCGAGCAGGGCCTTGTCCCCCTCTGGCAGCGACTCCAGCTCTGGAAGGCTCACCACGGGCTCGATGGAGCTCTCGGTGATCATGCCCTTGTCCCCGGCGCAGAGCTTCTCGTAGAGGCCAACCCAACCCTCGACGAACTCCTTCTGGAGGCCCTCAGCCTGCATCTTCGAGCGGAAATCATTCGAGAAGGACATCGCTGGTATAGCCGGGTGGAAAAAAAGCACCCGCAGAGAATCTGCTTCAAACCAAGGCTCGCTTGAGTCAAACGTTCTTGCCGAACGACCACGAGGACTCCCCCTGGGCCGACAAAAGCAGAAGGGCACGATAGGTTCTGTAGTATACGGCAGCGCGGATCAGAACCGAACTCACCGTCGCCGCGGAAGGGTACGCGAGAGCTTCTGCCACGCAGGGGAGAGACGCGCACGAGCAAGCTAGCAAACCACGCGCATCAGCCGCTCGTGGTTTCAAAAACTTGGGGACCTGTCGTCCGCCAAACGGACACGTGGTTATGTTCTGGGTTAGTTCGGGTCGATAGGGCGACGTATACCCCGCCAATGAAACAGAGTGGATCGCCGAACGGCGAAATCCCGAAACAAACCCAGGAGGCGCAGAAAACTGCCATGCGAAATGCCGCCGCCCAGGAAATCCTAGACGGTATCAAGCTATGTGGTGCGTGGTGTACTCTACGCGGGGACGATATATGTCGTACATTCTACGTTGTGCAACCTATGTGGGGCCATCTCCGTGGTGCAGCAAATGTTGTGCGATTTATGTGGCGCAATTTATGTTGTGCAATGGATGTGCTGCAATGTATTTGGTGCAATTACTTTGGTACAACCCACGAAATGCAGTGTATGTGGAGCAACCCACGTGGTGCAATCGACGTCGTGCAATCTATGTGGCGCAGTAGATGCTACGCAACCTACGTGGCGCCAAAAATTGTTGTTCGCCGTAAGTTGTCAAGTCCACCGCTCGTGCAACAATCCCACCCACCCGCCCGCAATTTGGTTTGCAAAAGCCACGGCTGAGCGCTAACTACCGCATTGCTGCGAACGCGCTAGCGGCGCGAGCGCGCGCCGGCTCGCGCGCAGAGCGGCCAGGTAGTCTGGCGCGACCGACGCGGCCGCGGTGGCGCTGACCGCTGGGCACTTCCCAGCGCGTCACAGGCTGGGCTGACGTGCGGGCACTCCAACTCGAGTTGGTGGCTCTGGCGGCCAACGGTGGACACGATTTTGGTAGTAGCGATGCCGGTGACCATGATGACGATGACGACGGCAAGGCCAATGCTGGCGCCGATGCTGATCACGCCGATGGCGATCATGGTGCCCACGCGTCGGCGATAGAGGTTGTGGAAAATTCGACATGCGCGCGCGGTCGACGCGCGCGAGTGGGCCGCATGATACTGTTATTTGACAGGGATCGTGCCCCCCCAGCAAGCGCGCGCAGAGGCGTTCGAATGATCTCGACATGTACTCGCGAGAGGCCCGCTTGGTCACATTAGATAGAAATCTAAAAAAACTATGGTTTTCCTCAGAATTCGCAAGGACGCGCGCGCAGACTTTTTTTGAAAGGCCACGTTGCAACACCAGCGGCTTTGCATATGCGCTCGGAAACCTGGATCTTGACACCCCTGCAGAACATGAGGCTTTTGAGGGATTCCGGCATGCACGCGCGACGCAGCGCGCGTGTGTAGATTTTGTCTCACCATGTGTACGGGAGCGCATGGGACTCGTGCCCCAAATAAGCGCGCAAAAGGCGTCCAAATGATTTCGACATGCGCGCGCGAGAGGCCCGCTTGGTCGCATGTGATGAGCTGTGTTATATATATACACATGTGTTGTAAAAACCGGGTTGCTTCTGCTAGGGTGCTGCAACAGCGCGAGCACAGACTTGTTCTGAAAAGCCACCTTGCCAAACCAATGATGCTTCATATGTGATCGGAGACCTCGATCTTGACAACCACGAAATCTTACGTTTCGGAATAATTCCCACAAGCGCACCCGAGACGACGCGCGCGTGTGGATGTTGTCTCGTTTGTGCCATCTGGGAAGACAGATGAATATTGATACGCGAGTGTACACGCATAGAACTATTTGACGAGTATGGGGGGAAAGATCGATACCTGCTGGGCTGTAATGATGTGAGTTCAAATTTAAACTGAACGATGGGCAGAACCATATGTGAGTTGTAGCATATCAGGGAGAGCCGCGAAGTCCAGAGGGGTGGTAGATCCTACTGTCTCTGTAGAACGGTGAATGTAAAGCAACATGCGCGGTGCAAGATACGTTGCGCAATTAAGTTTGGAAAGTTCGAGTTGTAAATTCAACTGCACGCGCAATCATCCCACCCGCCCACCCGCAACATGGTTTGCAAAATCCCTGCGGCGGCAATTGCGATGAGTGTTTGGTGTTGGCTGGCGCATCTCTGCGGCCGCGCTCGCCCGCGCGCGCTCGCGCGCACAGCGGCCAGTCAGCTAGCTTTTCGAGACCGACACGGCCGCAGTGGCGCTGACCACTGGGCAGTTCGCAGCAGGCCTTCAATTCAAGTCGGTGGCTCGGGCGGCCGCGGTACCATGGCGTCGTCGACAACGGTAGACACGATTTTGATACTAGCGATCACGGTGACGATGATAGCGATGGCGACGGCAAGGCCAATGAAGGCGCCGATGCTGATCACGCCAATGACGATGACGATGTCCTCGCGTCGGTGATGAGGTTCGTGAAAAAAGTTCGACATGCGCGCGGTCGACGCGCGCGAGTGGCCCACATGATATTAGTTGTTTGACAAGGATCGTGTCACCCAAGCGCGCGCGCAAGGGCGTCCGAATGATTTCGAAATGCGGCGCGAAAGGCCCGCTTGGTCGATCCCAGTGAGTATTTTTGAAAAACGGATGGTGTTCTTGGGAATTCGAAAGAGCGCGTGCGCAGATTTGTTTTTTTGAAAACGGATGTTGCACAACCATATGTTTTATATGTGTTCGGGGCACTCAATGTTGAAACCCGTGCGAAACCTACGGCGTGTTGCAGGATTCCGGCATGCGCGCGCGACGACGCGCGCGTGTGAACCTGGTCCCGTTTTCTGCAAGAGGTTATTGCGACAGCACGTGCGCAAGGGCGTTCGAACGGACAAGCACGCGCGAGGGACACGTTTGGTAGCATTTGGTGAACACAGATAGTTTGCTTCAGAATTCCCAAGAGCGCAAGCGCATGTTTAATTGAAAACTATTTTTAACGATGGTCTCCAAGGCGGTCCTCAATGCTGTAAGCTTGGACACCCTCAGCTTGTCACTTGGAGCGCACATCTATGAGACCGGAGAGGGAGCAGGAAGACGACGACCACGACGATGCAGGGACGGGGGGAGGAAACTAATGCCGCAGCTGTGAAACCCGGTTCAAACCCCTGTTCGCCCCGGAAAGCACAGATGGTCCGTGAGCGGCGCTGGCGCATCATAGACAACTCCCGAAATTGCTTATCACTGAACCAAGGCGCAGCTCGGCTCGTGACACGGTGAAACGCGATTTGAACCTGATCCGTGAGCGGCGCAGGCGACCACAGACAACTCCCGAAATTGCTTATCACTGAACCAAGGCGCAGCTCGGCTCGCGGCACGGTGAAACGCGGTTCGAACCTTCGTTCGCCCCGAAAAGCACAGATGATCCGTGAGCGGCGCTGGCGCACCATAGATATCAATGAACCAAGGCGCAGCTCGGCTCGCGGCACGATCTGCCAGCATGCGCGCAAACCGTCGGTCATCTCAGTGATGGCGACGGCGGGATCGGTACAGTCAACGACTATATGCAGCAAGTGCGTAGAAGGAAGGGGAGTGGAGGAGAGAGGAGGGCGAGGAGCATTGAGACCCGTCATCCAGGGCAAACGACCATGCGGGCTGGACCGACAGCGCGTGCGGAGATGCAGTGGCATGACACTCACGCCGAGCATACATAGCAAGCACAGGGTGAAGACCCCAGCTGAAAGCAGCTCTTCCTCCTCCCCTTCTCCTCCTCCTCCTCTGCTCCTTCTCCTCCGCCTCCTATGCCTGGCTATCACAAGGTGAACGCCCCGATTGGAAACAGCACTGCATGCCCGGCGCGGCCGTCAGAGCCGCTGCCCTCAGAGCAGGCTCGCCACCATTTGTGGCGGTCCAGCAGACGAGCGTGCAGCCTTTCCAGAGTGGGCGCTTTGCCACCACTCCACTCCGCCAACGCAAGCGCGAGGCGAAGAGAAGGGGCATGTCGAAAAGAGGGAGAGCTGATGATTGATCTTTGGACCGTGGCGACGGCACCGTGCCGACACTGGAGGGTCGGATCAGCGGGGCCTGCATGGACACAGGCACGGGAGGAGGAGGAGGAGGAGGATGGGCGGAGACGAACGGGGAGAAGCGGTGGAGAAGCTATACCAGTCGTGCTCACACACAATCTGGATCACCACAAAGGCAAAAACAATGTAGAGACTCGGGAATGATCGGGAACCGACCCTGTACGATATCTTGCAACTCCTCCAATTCGTCAAGAATTGGAATGGGCAGTGTGGATGCCACTTTCCGTTATGTACCTTCCCCCCCCCGCTACCCACCATGAGGCATGACTTCCCGACGGCGACGAGAACGAGTGCCAGTTCTGCACAGCGTGCATGCGCGCCATCATTCATGGCAATATCGTTGCCTTGGGCAACTCCGATGCTATTGTAGACAATACTCGAATTCAAATCTTGATTCGCATCAAGGAGACCAGAAGACGGGAAGCTCAGGGGCAAACCCTCCGCGCTGCCGTGGCGCCCGCTCATGTGGACAACTGTCTGTAGAAACAAGTCTGTCTGAACAGCTGGACAGGCAGGTGGCTCCGTCAACTCCGCGAACAACAGGCCTGGCCGCAGAGCTGGGCCAGGCGTCGGGATTCACGTCGCCATCGAGCCTGAACGACCCTTGTCTTCTGGGAGCTGGACGAAGCTATATGCGGTCCACCTAATGTGAAGGCTGCTCTGCCGCGAGGCGAGATGATATGTATCATACGCACGATAGACCCGTGCGTGTTGGTGCCAACTGACGTTTTACGTGGATCAGCGGGCGTAAACTAGGCAGCCGCACCTCGACGGCGAGCCTTGGGGAGGGGGGCGCGCGGCACGCTCTCGCGCCCGCGCGCCCTGCGGCGGCGGCCCCGGCGCCTCACAGGCTACGAAAACCTCGCCCCAACTCCATCACCTGCAAAGGCCGTGCGGCGGGGCCACCGCCGGGCGGCGGAGACGACGGGTCCTCGAGGTGCTCCTGGCCGCCCGCCGCGTCGGGCCGCGCCGCGCCGCCTGCCAGCGAGGCCGCTCGCGAGAGCTGCTCCTGGGCCAGCAGCTGGCCGCTGGCGGCCCGGGCGATGGCCGGAGGCGTGCCGCAGCTGGACAGCTTCCGCGCACCGCGGCGGCCGCGCCGGCCCCGCAGGAGGTCCCAGAGGACGATCCGCACAACGCCGCGGCCGTGGTCCTGGCCGTCGGACGGCAGCGCCAGGTCGAGCCGCAGGAGCGCCGAGAGCATCGGCCTCGGCCCCCTCGAGCCGTGGGCGCCTCTCTGCTGCGCGGGGGACCGGAGGTGGAGCCGCCTGTGGTACTCCCGGGGGGCAGGATCGGCGCCCTCCTGCAGGAGAGCCAAGTACGCCTCCTGCACCCAGGTTATGAGCTCCTCGTGCTGGGACCGCCGCACGGCGGCCAGAAGCTCGCCTGGGGCGTCCACGTACTGCGCGAACGCGGGGGTCTCGAGCCGCACGGAGTAGCCCGGGGTCAAGACGTCGACCCAGGCCACGAGCTCCGCCTCGGCGCCCAGGTCCTCCCAGCTCCCGTGCGGCGAGGAGGCCTCGGAGAGCGTGTCCGAGGACGCCTGGCCGGAGAGCGCGGCCGTGGGGTCCGCCAGGGCGGCGAGGGGCGAGAGGCGTGCCGTGCAGGCGTTCCGCGGGCCGGCCCGTCTGCCGCCGCGCCGCGTCGTCTCCGGCGCGCTGCCCCGCAGCATCGGGGCGGTGTCGGTAAACTCGCGGATGCCGACGAAGTACGCGGCCCGCCCCTCCCGGTTGACGAAGCTCACGCAGAACACCTCGACGTCGAGGGGTATGCTGGAGCTGTCCTTCATGGCGACGTGGAACGCCGCGCTGAGCCCGACCGCGTCCTCGCTCAGGAGCCCGGCTTTGCGCATCTGCGCGGAGAACTTCTCGCGGTCCTGCTGGGACGCTAGGAACTGCCTCAAGTCCTCGCCAATGAAGTTGCGCAGCGGGTTCAGCAGGAGCATGTCCACCAACTCGGAGGACCCGTCCTGCAGCCGGAAGTCGCTGTCGAGCTCCACGACGGCGTCGCAGACGCTCCGCAACACCGAGCGCGCGGCCTTCAGCTCGTTCCTCGAAATGTTAGCTTCTATGTCGTACTGCACGACACGGTATACAGACGTGTGAAAGAACGCGATCACAATTGCGAAGACGCAAGTCGCCGTCAGCACCTGAGAAGCCCTCTGAGCCCGTGGTGGCAGACAGTCTTCGTTTCGAAGAGGGCTCTCGAAGCCGAAATATATCGTGCTGCATATTGACAAGGACACGGCTAGCAACCATATGAAGTTGAGGCGGCCGTTCATGTTGAACGAGCACATCACCAACGTAGCAGCAAAGGGTAGCAGAGAGGATGAGGCCGCAAAAGCTTCTTCCGATGCGAAAGGTGACACGTACAGGACAAGCACTGCGACCACCAAGCAAGACCATGCATCCAGCGTCCTCGACGTCAGACTCTGAGGGAACGCCCACAGAAAGAGGAATATGTAAGAGCACACCATCAGACAGATGTCCTGCACGACGGAGTTCGGGCGCGAGGCCACGTGGGCGGACCTGACCAGACCGAGCGTGAGCACGCCCTGGATGGCCGCGCAGACGTAGGGGAGCGAGGCGTGCGCGCGGACCAGCCGCCTCTTCTGCAGCTCCTGGGCCACCTGCTTCGCGGCGGGGCCGCCCGCCGAGCCGGCCAGGAGCCGCACCGCGCCCCGGCACAGCCCGGCGAGCTGGCCGAGGTACGAGGCCACGGATGCTCGCCTCGCCTGCCTGGCCATGCGAACGAGCAGGACGCAGCTGCCCAGCACGAACCAGAGGGCGCACATAGAGGTAAACGCCGTCCGCCGGGTTCCCTCTTCCGAGTAGTTCTGGGGGGCGGCCTCCATGGCCGCCGGGCGCGCGCCCCGGCGCTCCCCGCCGCTGCGGGGCGCCAGGGGGCGGCCCCGCAGCGGGGGCGCGCGCGCGCTGCTTCCGCCAGACCTGCTTGAGCAGGCACGGCTTGAGCCAAAATGGCTACGGAATGTGTAATTTAAAACTATTGTTGCTAAGCCATGTATTATTTCGTATGAAAGCTGGGACACTCGATGTTGCAATCCCAATGACACATGATGTTTTTGAAGGATGTCGACATGCGCGCGCGACGACGCGCGCACGAGCGCATTTCGCCCCGTCGTTTTGCAAGGTAGCGAATGCGCGCATAGCTTGTTGCAGAGGATGAGGCGGGACCGATAAGGGACTGCCTAGGATGGTATGCATTCATATTTCGGAAAGACGACGGGGCAGAATCAGATGCACATGGCAATACCAAAGGCGATGCATTAAGTCCGAGCGGGGGATACTCTTTTAGAAAGGAAAATCCAATGGCGGCGACGACAGGCGGCTAAGACGACGACGGCGCGGCGACAGCGACAACATAGCCGCCAGAGCGGGAAAACGGGCCCAGTCGACGGGCGGCGACGAGGCGGCGACTGGGCGGCGACGGCGACAACATAGCCACCAGAGCGGGAAGACGGGCCCAGTCGACGGGCGGCGACGAGGCGGCGACTGGGCGGCGACGGCGACAACATAGCCACCAGAGCGGCAGACAGGCCCACGCAACGGGCGGAGACGAGGCGGCGACGCAGCGGCGACGGGGACAAAACAGCCGCCAGAGCGGTAGACCGGCCCAGTTCCTTAGAGGCGAAAGAACAATCCCGAAGTGCAAGCACTGCTTCAGAAATTTGATAATCTGATGTAAATTCGAAACCCTCCGCACCCAAAGAACCGGAATTCCGCCAGCCAGCGCAGACAGCGAGAGCATGCGAAAGAAGAGGAGAGCTTAGGAAAGAAGAAGAAACGTATGATAAAGAGAATATTCGCATACCATCAAGAAAAACACGAAGAATGACCAGTGAGGTCGACATCCTCTGCTCAAGCAAAAAAGACTTGGCCCGTTCCTACGTCGAACAGCGGGAAGAAATCCTCGTTGGGCCCGAAACAACACCTTGCTCGGCGCGCGAAAGTTCCCCCCTTCGATGCAGAAGTTTCCCGGTTCCAAGTGGATAACCTGGTTGACCATTCTCCCCCAAGAGGGCTCCACTAGGGCCCCAAGATGACTGCAAGAGTCCTCCAAGGGGGCTCTTGAAACAAAAGTTCCGCGAAGGCCTCCTCCTTTGTATGTTTTTGTTTCTCCTCCTGTTTCCCTTCCTTCCTACCCCCTCCTCCGTCATCCTCATCCTCCTCCTTTTGCCATTTCCTTCCTCCTCCTTCTCCTTCTCCTCCTCCTCCTCGTCCTCCTCCTCCTCGTCCTCGTCCTCGTCCTCCTCCTCCTCGTTTTTCCTCCTCCTCGTCCTCCTCCTCCACCTCCTCCTCCATCTCCTTTCCTTATAAAGAAGTCATCCCTGCCGCATCCCAAGACGTGTCGGTAGGGCGGGCCGGGCGTTTCGCGTGAGACTTGCTCACCACTTATGACCCTGAAGCTGAAAATCTGCAAGAATTCTACACATGCAGGGTGGGCCGTTTCCAAAAGTGTGGCTCTCGCGGTGGCGCAGCGCAAATTCGTCAAAGAAGCGCGCGCCAGCTTCAAAGATGGAAGGCAGCTCTTTCTTGTTCTCGCCTTAACATCGCGCAAGCTTGTCCTGAAAGTTTGCCGCAGGTTCATGGATGGGGGGCGGCTCCTTTTCAAAATGATGATCTCGCCCTAACGCCGCGAGCATTCGCCTTGAAAGTCTGCAACAGCTTCAAAGGCTCGTAGGCTGAAGTCCCAGGAATTGCGTTCTGGCGCGATTCAAAAATGTCATAACGAAACAATCACGTTGATTCGCGGTGCTGACGGCAGGAATGGCTTTGTGGCACGATTTCGGATTACCAAGACGCAACAGTCACGTTGACTCGCGGCGCTGAAGTCCCGGGAAGTGCGTTTTGGCGCAGTTAAAGATTCTCAGACGGTTCTCCCACTGGGGCAGTTTCACAAGACAAGTCCGCCGACATCTGCTTGCCAGAGGTGAGAAGGCGTGTAGATTGATTGGCCGCCCCCCTCTCAGGCCTGCTTCCCCCATCTCTAAAATCAAAGACCGCACCAGAAGGGAGGGGGACAGAGAAGTGGCGGGGTGCGACGAGCCCACCAACGCACCCCAGGGGCGTTCTGGAGCCTCCCAATAACCCCAAAACTGCCCAATGAGCGTCGAGATAAACCACGAGAGCGTCGGGACGGCTCAAGGCAACCCCGCGACGGTCCAAGCTATCTTTAAAACGGCCTACGGGGTCCCCAACACGGCACAAGATTGTTCCCAGAGAACCACCGATAGGGCCCCAAGAAGTACATCGTCTGATTCCCTTCGTATGACGCACATTTTCGACACACACACACACACACACACACACACACGCACACACGCACACACGCACACACGCACACACACACACACACACACACACACACGCACGCACGCACACACACACACACACACACTTGTTGGCGGGCGCGGCCTCGCGTGCAGCGTCGAAGCAGAGAAACTCACCGAACGAGCGGGCGCGCGGGGGGGGGCGCTCAGAGCATGCGGGGCACACACAAACACACACACACACACACAACAAAAACACACACACACACACAAACAAACAAACAAACAAACAAACAAACAAACAAACAAACACAAACACAAACACACACACACACACACACACAAACACACACGCGCCTTTTTCGAATTGGCAGCGCCCACTACTGCCCAAGGAGCCTCAAAAATCATCCCATGACGGGCCCTGAGGCCCCCAACAGGAGGGCCCCAAGACGGCCCAGTAGACCAAGAGGGACCCAGGACGGCCTCAGGGGCCTTCAAGATGGCCCAAGAGGGGCAATACGAAGTGACATGTGGAGTTTTTCCAGCCGCGATGGCCGCAAGAGCCCCCCAGTGACCCCCAAGGGACTCCAAAGAGGCCTGATGACGCTTCCAAGAGGCACCCGAGCGGCCCCTGAGAGGCCCCCGGGAGGCTACCAAAAGCCAATCAGATGTCCCCAAGAGCCCTTCAAGAAGCCCCCGAGAGGCATTCCAGGAGACCCTCAGATGCATCCCCGAGGCTCCTGACCCACAGGCCCGGCACGGTGCGACTCTTGACAATTCCATTGTTATGGGGACGGCGGAATGGCGTAAGCCTCTTAAGAGCCTCGTAGTTAAAGTATGGTGTGGGGCCTATGAAAAGGGAACTTGAAAGAAGGGTTTATTGCAACATCGTTGGTGCGTGCTGGGTTTACACTGGTCCTCCTCCTCCTCCTCCTCCTCCTCCTCCTCCTCCTCCTCCTCCTCCTCCTCCTCCTCCTCCTCATCCCCCTCCTCCTCCTGCTCCTCCTCCTCCTCCTCCTTCTTTCGACCGCTTCGCAATCGGGGACCGATTGGCGGACACGGCTCGCAAGCAGTGCAAGGCTGCCCTCAGTCGCCGTGATGGCCTTTGTCGTAATAAACTGGCCAAGCGTAGCACATTGTGATCTCTGACATCCAAAGTTATCCATCAAGCAAAGCCACAATGCATGCCACGCTCCACAAGCATGGCTCCAGTTCGCACGCCGTGACGGTGGCATGCTCACCCATTGCGAAGCTCAGTGACGCAAGACGAGTCCATTCTGCAGCATCGTCTGTCTGGACATACTCAAACCCATCCAGCACCCAACCACCCCCCCTGCTATGCTCACCAACGCTGCCGCCGAAGAAGACGCGATAAATTCGACTTTCTGGCCGGAGAGCGTGCACAGCGTAGCTGAAAGCACGCTGCCGTGCTAAAGCATCCGCTTCTGAATTCAGCTATCTGTATAGATGCCGGCCCAAGCCGGCATCGTCCGCACGCGCAATAAGGTAGTACATGGTGGAAGCACGCTCCAGGACATAATGTAAAAGTCGAAGGCGTTCATCATGGACGTTATGATAGCACTTCCACGTGACATTCAACCAATTGATCGCCAAAGACGAATCACCGATCACCTCCAATCGCGGAACGTCACGGCCTGCATCCCAGCTGACGGGTCGACGGCTGACTGTGCGTGGCTTCTTTCTGGCTGGCTCTTCCCGTGGGCTTGGCTGTTTCCGGTTTGTCGTGAGGCGCTGTTCCAATGGCCGCATAGAGAACAGACCGTGGGCACGTTCGCGAAAAAAGCCGCAATCTTTCTTCCAGCCCGTGTTGCACGCGGCCTCCTTCCACCTCTCGCCACAAGCACGCAAGAGAACATCTTCCCATGCATATTTTTTTCCGGGTTCGCGCGTACCTCCAGTGGCCCTGCTTCCCGCTTCTATCGAGAGCCTCCCCCAGGGCCCTGCGCCACTGCCACCATTGCTCGTCGTGCCAGAGCACGCATGCTGGAAGGAAGCATTGACTAGCCAACTGCACCTGTGGACGAGGGGCGCCTATCGCATCGACAACGTCGGCGAATGGGTTGCTGCCCTGCGGCCCCATGCTGATGGCAGTCTGGCTGCATAAGCGTGCAAACCCAGCGCCTGCCGTGGCATGCAGCTCGTCTAAAACTCGCGTGGCGAGGCTCAGATGGCCCTGGCGGTGGAAAGTCTGGCATACAATACAGGTAGTCCTCCTCAGCTGGTCAGCGAATGTCTCCTCGGGTCTCTGGCGCAAGCCGCCAAGTCGACGGAGCAGCGCGTTCTCCCACCGGTAAAGCTCGTTGTACAAGCCTTTGGACCACGTCCAGGCTCCTGCGCCGCGCAGGACCACGGCGTGCACTCTCTTAACGAACTCAGCAAACCGCACTTGCAAACTCATGGAGTCTTCCAATAAGGCCGGGCTGTATTTCCAAGAAGCTGCAGCGGCCTTGCCTAGCCAACGGCGGACAGACGGCAACGTGTTGGCGTCGCTCGACAAGATCGCCCCGAGCACCTACAGCGTCTTCACTTTTCGCGGCCATTGGCTTTCTCCTCCTTGCTGGAGTTGGAAGGTCTGGGTCGCGGCAGGCTCGGATGTGACGCACTGCAGGGACTCTGGCTTCCAGCGCAACCTGAAAGACACAACGACGCTGGTG